AAATCCTAGCTACTCAGGAGACTGAGATCTAAGGATCACAGTTGAAAGATAGCTCAGGCAGGAAGGTCTGTGAGACTCTTATCTCCAATAAACTACCAGAAAACTCGAAGTGGTGCTGTGGAACAATTGGGAAAACCCTTGTCTTGAGCTGAAGGGCTAAGGGACAGCACCCAGGCCCAGAGTTCAAACCCCACAACCGACAAAAAATAATAAAAATTACTATTACAGTGTACTGTTCTAGCCCCAGAGAATAGACTGGCAATCCATAGGTACATGCATATTTATGTCCTCATAGTTACCTTCCTCTGATCCTTTCCAAATACTTACAATATTGTACCTATACTTTTGTTTGTTATCACTGGTCCTGAGGCTTGAACTCAGGGCCTGGGTGCTGTTCCTTACCTTTTTTGCTCAAGGTTAGTACTCCACCACTTGAGTCACAGGTTTATTTCCAGCTTTTTGCTGGTTAATTGGAGATAAGAGCCTCAGATAGTTTCCTGCCTGGGTAGCTTTGACTGCAGTCATCAGATTTCAGCCTTCTGAGTAGCTATGATTACATGTGTGAGCTACAAACACTTGGAATATATCTCTATTTAAAGAATATAAAATGACACCTCTGGTTTATGTATTCCATTACTTCAAATTATACTCTTATTGGTGGACACATTTGCTTAGATTTGTCACAGACAAATCTGAGAGCCAAAGAAAAATGTTACTTTCAAACTTTTTGCATAACTTACTCTAGCCAGAATTTAATTATCAAAGGATGACAAAATCAAAAATACCTCAAATGATATTAATATTGCAACGGTAGACAGCTATTCTTCATATTTTAACTTTATTCAAATTTAGGAATAAAGAAAAACTCTGTAGAATTAAAAGTTTCTCAAAACTCAAACAGAAATGTAGTATCAGCAGATAGTTCATTTATCATTTTTCTTATAAAAATAGCCATGACTTGGGCATTGGTACTAAGTAAATATTTGAGAAAAGAAGCCAATCTGCCCATCTTTAAGTTTTATTTTCTGATTTATTTACATCAATAATAGCCTATAAGTAGAAATGCTAAATGCTATTTTCTCAGTTCTATAAATTATTCTGTTAAGATTAATTTAAACAGACATATAAACATACAAGCCCACTCTTTAAAAAAATGGACACTTTCAATTTAAGAGTTCTTTTATTTTTTCAAGTCAATGGCCATTTCTTCAAAAAGTCTCTAGAAATGTTTTATTCTTCTGAGAGAACACATGGAGAATTATGTAGGAAGAGCAAAGATGGCAGTTTCCACTAAATAACTTCAAGAGTGCACTGTTTATTCTCCCCACAGTCTTTCTAGCTAAGCATATCAAGATGAAGCTTTTTGTTTTCATTTTTCTTTTGTGCCAGTAGTGGGTCTTAAACTCAGGGCCTGGTAAGTGTTACTTAGCTTTTTCACTCAAAGCTAGCATACTACCACTTGAGCCACATCTCCACTTCTGGCTTTGGGGTGATCAAAACTGAAGTAATAGCCTCACAGACTTTCCTGCCTGGGCTTGTTTTGAAATAGGATCCTCAGATCTCAACCTTCTGAGTAGCTAAGGATATAGACATGATCCACCCATGTCCAGTGAGGCCAGGGGTTATTAACTGAGTTCAGTTTTGATTTCATGGTTAGGGAAGTGGCATGGCTTCTGGAAACTAGTAGTTTCTAAGAGTACAGCACAGATGACCTCTTTCTATCTCCAATCCAAAGACTTTTCTTGATCCATATGTCAATAGTGTCAAAATTAAGGAGGTCACATTTTAACCTCACCATTCAAGAGAGAAGAAAGTATGTCCCTAAGCAAGAGGAAAGGGAAAGAGCAACAAGAGAAGGATGTGATTAGGGTCCACTTCATGTAAAGACAAGGATTCATTATTTTGTTGTTTCAAGTAAATGTAGCAAACACTGGATCCCATGGACATTCTTCGCAGCCATATAAAGGCCATTTTCTTTTTATGGGTGTTCACAATTAAGTATCTCCTGGGATCGTGTGGTCAATTAGAGTTTATAGTCAATTCTACCTACAACCTTCCCCTTGGACCAACCACATAGGAGGCAAACTGAGTCCGAGGTTAAGTTGATTTCATTTCAGAGAAATTGATCCCAGAGAAAGAAGTGAAAATATTATAGACAAGTGTTCTAGAGGGAGAATGGCTTGATCAAGCCCTTAACTTAAATTATCTTTGTAAGAGGAAAACACAATACACAAATCATAGACTTCTGTGTCTGCTAGAACTTTGCCCAGTAGTACTGCCTATGGGGTTTCTTCACTTGAGCAAATTACTTGTTCTTTTTGAGCTGTGTATTCATTAGTAAAATTGAATCAAAAGATATAACTTGCAAGTTGTTATAAAGACTAAATAAAAATGTATATAAATCTTAAGAACAGGGCAGTAGAATCTCAGGATATTGTTTTAATGTCATAATCTCAGGATCAGAACTGCAAACCAGATAATCAATTTAAGAAGCAGAGAGGATGGCTAGGAAGGTGGCTTAGTGGTATAGCACTTGCCTTGCATGCCTGATGCCCTGGGTTCAATTCCTCAGCACCACATAAGCAAAAAGAAAAAAGCCGGAAGTGGCGCTGTTGCTCAAGTGATAGAGTGCTAGCCTTGAGCTGAAGAGCTGAGGGCCAGCGCCCAGGCCCAGAGTTCAGGCCCCATGACTGGACCCCCCCCCAAAAAAAAAAGAAGAGGAGAGGAGTTTTCTTTCTCTCCCTCCCTTTTTCACTTCCTTTTTTCTCTTTCTTTTCTCTTTCCTTCCTTCTTTTTACTCTACCTCTCTTGCTTTCATCCTTTCTTCTTTCTCTCTCTCTTTCTTTCTTTAATTCTTTTCTTCCTGGTACTGATCCTTATGCTTGAAATAAAGGCTATGTTTTTGAACTTCTTTTGCTCAAAGCTCTACTGCTCTACTACTTGAGCCACAATTTCACATCTGGCCTTTGGGAGACAGTATTTTATTGGACATAGAAATATCATGGACTTTCCTGTCCTTGGTGCCTTTGAACCATGATCCTCAGAACTCAGCTTCCTGAAGAGCTAGGATTACAGGCATGAGCCACCAGCACTTGGCTGCATCTTTGTTTCTTATAAGCAGATCATATACCTGATGAAGAAGGCTAAAGATCCCTTCCTACATTTTTCCATCTCTTTTGAGTTTTTCTCATGACCTGTGAGCATCAGGAACTAAAAGTTGGACGGCAGTGAGGTCGTTTACCAGAGGACCTGGATTTCAATCACACCTTTTAGCTGTAAAATTATATGATCCTGGACTCTCTGATAGTTGACCTTTTCTTTACCTCTGGCCCTACCTTGACCATAATGGTTATTAGGAAATTCACCACCATCCAAAAGAGATGTTTGGTAGCTTAATGACATAATTGTGCCTCTTCCAGATGAGGAGGGGAGAGTAAATGTGTACCATTTGGGAATAGGTAATAAATTTTCCCAGGTAAATTACATTTCCCCTGTTGAACTAAACATATCCTAAAGGGGAACCATATGAAGAACTTTCAGTTTTAAAGTTCTCCATTTTTGTAGACTGAGAAGGCTCCAGAGCTTCTAAAGTAGGATAACTACCGTCTCAGTACAAGTGGAACATTTGATATTAAAAGGCTCTGAGTTTCCCTAAAAGAATGTACTTTGTACCACTGTCTAGTTAGGTTAACATTCAAATATTTTTCTTGCTGCCTCCCACTGGACCAGTCACCATTCATGTCTGTAGAACAGAGGAATTCAGATTATTCCACTGTGTATGATATGATATGATATATATGATATATGGGGTGTATGAGGTATATCATATAATACTATTTTCTGGGACCTCACAGATAATTATCTGATACTGTCTTAGGATACAAAGTTGAACCACAAATCTAGAGTCTGCTAAACTACTTCCCTAATTTGTAGAATATCCCCAGCCCTCCATTTTTTCTCAGACCTTGGGCTTGAACTCAGAGCCTGGGCTTTCTCCCAAGGCTTTCTCAAGGCTTTCTCAAGGCTAGCATTCTACCACATAAGCCACAGGTCCACTTCTGTTTGGGGGTGATTAATTGGGTAGAAATTGTTATGTCGAAAAACAAACTTTACAATTTTTGGGGGGGAAGATATGGGGGCGGCGGGGGGCAGATGGAAAGGGATGGGAAGGGGAAACAAAGAAGGAGGCAACAATGCTTGATAAGAAATGTACTCATTATCTTGCCCATGTAATTGTAATCCCTCTTTATGATGTTTTCACAATTAAAAAAAAATCTCACATACTTTCCTGCCTAGGATACCTTTGAACAGGGATCCTCAGATCTCACCATTCTGAGTAGCTAGGATTATAAGGATGACTCAATGGCATCCAGCTTTTTTATTTTTAAGGTAGAAAGAAGTTTTAATTCAACATGTCAGTTTATAAGTACAATGTTTCTCACTGTCATACCTTCAATTTTCTTTCTCACCTTTCCCAACACTGTCCATACCTTCAAGTTCCTTGTTTTAAATGGAAACTTTGACAATCATTGTACAAAGTTGAGTATTAAAGAAACTTAACTGAATTTCAAGTAACTAAAAAAAAACTAAAGCCAAATTTAGTAGAATGGGTGAAATAATTGGTAGGAATAAAAAATAACAAGAAAAAAATAAAATAACAGTAATCAATAACACAAAGAGGAGGTTCTTGAAAGGCCAAATGTGAAAAGGTTTTGATTAGACTATGAAAAAAGAAGAAAAGATTGAAGCAAGTAACGTGAAAACAGAAACACAAAAGGTCATTAAAGATACTTTGAGAAAACATATCAGTAAATTTTATAACATTGAAGAAATGACATGGTGCACTTTCAAAAGCTAAAGTAGGAAGACACAAAAAACTTAAAAGAAAATAAATTTATGAATTTTAATCAGTAATAAAAAATTTGTCTTGTTTTAGTAAAACCTGAATTATCCCCCCCCAAATTAAAGTGGCTAAAACCCATTTTCCTTATTTTGAAAAACTATAAGTAGAAGAAATTCCTTAGACCACATCCCACGGTGCCAACTTTACCCTGAAACCAAAGCAGAGAAACAAGTTAAACTATAATACGAGCTATATTTGATATCTATGATAACCATAAAGACCAAAACACTAAAAAACTGATTATGACACTAATAGCCTATCCCTTATGAGCAAGAGTTGAAGAATGGAGGACATTACAACTTAAAAGTTTCTGCTCAAAAAGAACAATTATCAGAATCTTGAGACAACTAAAAGGATGGTAGAAAATCTTCACTAACTAGTCAAGACAAGAAAAATATCCAGATGTTCCAAAGACTTCAAAAGTGAAGTATCAAATGAAAGATCCAAATTATAAATAAGCCAATAATTAGACAGGTCTCAAAAGCAGCAATACAAATTATTTACAGATACCTGAAGGAATGTTTTATATCCTTAACCATAAATGAAATGTAACTGAGACCTACATTAAGATTTCATTTTATCTCAAATAGAAATCATAAAGCAAATAAATGAACAATACTAGTGAGATGTATGGAAAGGAACCTCTTACACTGTTCATGGGTCTGTAAAGGCATCAGTATAGAGGTTCCTCAAAATTCTGAAAACACATTTTCATTAGGACCTCACCGTGCCCCACTCTTGTGCATATATCTGAGATCAGAGGATTTCAACTAAAGTCAACCAGGCAAA